TATTTACCACAATGCTCTGACTTGCTCAAGAGAAGAACCAGAGCTCAGAGAGCCTGACTCAAACCAAAAGCTAGTTAGGAAATACTGGAAAGGGATCCAGCTGAAGAACATGCCTACACTACTGTGCATATACGTATGTACCAAAGCATTTCTCTGGGCAGTTGGCCAACACTTCCCCTCAAAATAGGGCCTTGGGTGTTTAGAAAGAGAAACTGGAGTTTGGTGGGGTTTTTTTCAAGCTAGAAAATCATCATGCATTTGTATTCTGTGAAACTTCAACTCACATAGCTTGGCCATTTCTGAAAATAAGATGAGGTAAAAATGTATTGTTCTATCTGGCTTAAAAATCTCAGTGCAGTTTTGCTGATGGTACTAAGGCATCCAGTTATACATATCATAGCTGAGAACTTCACTCCTAATCTTCTTCTGAAGGTGTCCTGTTCTGGCTGACTTGGATGTCATCGGAATAGCTAAACAATATGCACAGTTGGACCTTCCAGCTTTTGCTTTGGGGTGCCTGCTGCTGATCCCTCAGTCTGAGAAGCGAGAGCAGCAAATTCAGGTAAATAATGTTTTGTGTTCTATCTGTGCAAGGGAAATGTCTTTAAGCATGTCATGTTCGACAGAGACTATGAAAGATGGTAATTTATAATCCCATCTTATTTTAAATATGCCACTGCTGACAGCTGCTTGGCATTTCCCACCCACAAAGGGTGTTGCCCTGAATTTGTCCTTCTGAAAGGGATCACGTGAACACTTTTTTTTTTTTTTAAAAGCAAAACGGTCTCTAGCTTCAAGTCATCCTCAGCACCTTTGTCATATGACTTTGCCTTTTGAGGATTTGAGGATATTTTATGGGATCCCACCCATAAAACCCATGAAAAAAACCAATAAAACCCAAGCCATAGCCATATACCTGCTAGAGAAGTGTGAAGTTATGGTAACGTGTAATTGCTGAGAAGCTACCAGTGGGCTAGTTTCACAACAGATTGTAAGAAAAATACCGAATCCTACTTCAGAAAAGTGTTGAGTTGAAACCTCCTGATTTCTTAGAAAGATGCTTGATGTGCATCACAAGTTGTGATGTAAACTTTTGCCTTAAAGCCATATCCTTGCTATTCCCGTATCTTGACGGTTTCCTTTCTCTTCTCGTTTGTTTCCATTAATTTATGCTCTGTGTTGTTCTCCCAGATGAAGCATTATAGGCTGTTCCCATATTTGTCGTGAGCGCACTGGCACTAGTAAAGGCACCTTTAAATTCTTAGGCTTCCAGTCAGAAGTTAAGCTCAGAAAGAATTTCCCAAATTACAGCACTGGCGTAAGATATTTAGTCTGCTGGCAATTAGTCAAAAAAAAATCTGTTAACAGCTACAGCAGAATACCCTTTGAGGGTTAAAAGCAATGAGTACTACTCTTTCAGTCAAACTGCACAGATCCTGGTTTGATAATTTCATGTTTGTACCTAGCATTTCAAAATATTGATTGTTCCTGAATAAGTCAAATGCTTGCTCTGAAGGGAGAGTTTCTACTTTAATCATTCACAGAATATTAATGTTTTGTAACTTATTTTTGCAAGGGTTTCTTATCAACATGTAACACAGAAACTGTGCTGCAACAAATAGATGAACACATGAACACTGGAGAAGTAGTGGCATTTGCTTCTCAGGTAAATAAATAAAATTTACTTCACTTGCCTTTGACTTAGAGGCTTTTTTGGTAGATAAGTGTACATAGAACCTTTTTTTTCTTTCCTCTCTCTCCTGATCTTGCCAAGCGTAAGTTGACATAATGCACACTTCTAAAATACAGCACCATTTGCAGGGATTTTTGCATTTTTATTAATGATGTTGTGCAACTGAAAAACTTCTTGTCTATATACACAGTGCTGTGTTACAGGCTGCCCCTATTTGTAGGACAGCATTGTTTGCAGCAGTACTACTTTAATTTTCTAAACAAATGTTTTAAGCAAAAAGGCCAAAGGGTTTATGAAACTGCACTCTCTCTTGCCTTGCCTTGGGCTGCCTTCCTAAGGGGAGGTTTCTTAACTCATTCCCCTTTCTGAACCTGAGATTAGTCTTCATAAAATCTTTCATTTCACAGCACTAAAAAAAAAAAAAATCCTGCTCTACGGAGTTGAATAAGAAAAGTCCGAGCTCTTCTCACTCAAAAGTAAATTTTTTAATGTTTAAAATATTAATACTAAAACTTAAATCTACAGATTAGATCCTTGGTTTTGGACAGTATCATAAATGAGAAGCTATATGAAAAATTCTTGAAAACGAAGTATTTTCCACTGTTGAAGCAACAACTGATAAATACTCACCGAATGAAAGAACTGGTGGATTATTTTGCCAAAAAGAACTGGTAAGTTAATTAAACAGGTGATGCATGACTGATAGCAATTACAGAAACCGAATCTCTCCTTTATTTTATTTTCATTTATTTGAAGTCGTTGAGACTTTCTAGTACTTAGTCTCCAAGAATTTTTAAAGTATTGCTAAGTTAAATAAAGAAATAAAATAAAAATCTTACCTCACTGCTGCACATGCTTAGGATAGCTTTACAGTGTCATTCAAGCCAAAGTAACAGCTTTTTGAGCCTGGACTGGCAGGCAGAGCAAACGCAGTTAAAAGAGCAGAAGTGCCCTGACTGAAAAAGCACTTTTGCTTTGAATCCCTTCACCATACCTTCAGACGAATTCAGCTTAGTGGCATCACGCAGTCACAGCTTCAGCAATAAAAACACTCTGAAAAAATAAATGAACTGCCTGTACTCAAGACTTAGAAATTAGTGGTTTTGCTGCTAAGTTTTTCAAGAGTTAGAAATACCTCTTACGTTCCGCTTAAATAAACCAAAGGGT